AAATATGGAGATTTTTTAAAACTGTTTCTGCAAGGTACTAGAGTGTATAAATTAAGATGGCTAGCCAGGCTCTATTGATAGAGAGGTGCTAGCTGACGAGCTGTTTTTTCAAAAGGTTTTTACCTCATTATTCTCCAGTTGTTTTGGCTCAAGACGGTAACGGTTTCCTGAGAACAGCTGATTTCCTGCATTTCTGCCATTCAAGGGGATAGAGAGCTTCATGAAAAGTGAGTTTGTAACTGGCTGTCAGTGACCTAATGCACAAGAAAGGCCAAATTTTTGTAGTTGCTAGGCACCTGGCTTTTCCTTCACATCAGTACATCTGTTACAAGTATAGTACACAACCTCTTTTGTTTCTTGGTTTATGACTTCTGTTCATATTAGATTGTATTTTGGAGCACCAGCCTCCACGTAAGACAGTATTTCATGCATTAATTAATTAACTCACAACTTTTTTGTGTAGTATTATCAACTCTATTAACTGAGAGGAAAATCAGATCACAGACAGATTAATTCACATGCTAGGTATCAGAAAGGAGACATTGACAATGCAAGGAGCCAAGTCCAACACTGATGGTACCCAATCAGGATATCACATAGATGCTGAATGCAGAAATCTGTAGCAGCTTTTTCTCGTACAGTGCTTTAGTGCATACATAATCCTTAGGAAGGAAGAAGTAGGTGGCATGTGTCTCAGAGCACTGAGTCTCCAGCAAGGAGTTGAGAGTATCGCTTATTTGTTGGGTCAGGTACCTTTCAGCCTACTAGATATTATTGCAAACATTGATTCTTCGTGATTATTTTCAATAAATATTAAAGTGCTTAGAAATAACATTTTAAAGAATATGAAATAAACAGAAAAGCATTCACTCTAAAATTGGGGATGCACAATAAACTCAGATCATTTTTGTTCACTGATATTCTCATTTTTGTTTGCGTTTATGTAACTCTTGTATCTGCTACAGAACTTAAGGAAGAGTGTATCTAAGGACAGACTTCGTGAGAAATTGCTTTGCGTTGATCCTGGCAAAGTGAATTTTGGCGACATCAGTGGAATGTTTTTTCTAGAAAAAGTAGGGGCTGAGGTGAGGCTCAGTCTCCTGAGTTTTGTGGAACAAAAACAGGGCCACAGCACCCTTTTAGAGCCATGTCAGAATGTCTCCACCAAGTCATGTTTAGTCTGTTGTGCTAAAATCAAGCTACCACTACTGGAACCAATGACAGTGATCCTCCTCCAACTTACACAGAGACACATAGTCCACCTTCAAACCATTGTCAACAGAAGCATCTTAAACATCCCTTGTATTCTCTGCTGTCCCACTGTTATTAGAGAAGGGAGAAAATAAGCACTGAATTATGAACTAAACCGGAAGAAACATCTCAAAACTGTCATGGCTGTACTTCCCTTTCAGAATACAAGTCTGCTTACTTCGTATATTGAGATCCTTCAACTGTTCTCATTTTCTGGAATTAGTTTAGAAGATTTTCTTGTTGAACAGGTATCTTCCAATGCTCTGAGATAAAAGAGCATGCCTTATGTTTTAGGTCTGTAGATTGACAGCTTGTATCAAGTTTTCTAGGCTAGGAAAGGAAAGTTGCTCTGGGCTGACCTCAGCTCCTGTGTAGAGGTCAGCCATTATCACTAGACAGGCCTCCGCTGTTGCTTATGCCTAACCGCTGTGGCATTGACATAAAAGATGAGTTTTGTTCTTTCTGATGCCATATGGTAGGCACCTTGTGTTGATGTGTTGGCTCTGTGATATTAGATCACAGCGTCACCCCTACTATATAGGGAACATTCAGGTATAGCTCAGGTATTTCCTTCTGCCCTGTTTCTGCTTCTGCTGCGGAGCTTTAATATGGTTCAGACCTAGTTCCCAAATATCTTTATGCTTTTGCTACCTCATCCATCTAAGAGTATGTAAAGTGTTTTGTGTTTTATCAGTGATGTTTTCATTCTGGGATCTATTAATATCGTATTGCTGAGAATACCTGATTTCTCTGCATGCTTGACTCTTTCTTTAAATGAGTCAGAGGTAAGCTTGTTAAATTTGTTTTATTTTTGGGTCTACAAGTAGTTGCAGTATAACTTCCGTGGTATAGGACATATTTAGTTGATCCAATAGTTGCAGGTAGCATAAAATTTGTTTTGCTTAGTCAAGTGGATGTCCAGTCTTTTTAAAGTAGTGACTATGGTTAGCTATTTGTTGAATATCATCAGCTGAAGGGGCTGATGTGTTTGAAATGGTACCATGGATTCAGGAGAGAGAAATTGTGTCTGATTTTCCACCGAGGTTTCATGCCAGAATCGCAATGGAAACTTGAGAGAAATGTCCCTAGTATACAAGTAAATTACCAGAGATGATTGTAAGGACAACTAGGCCATTTGGTTTAGTTCTCCTTACAAGGCCAAAAAAAAAAAAAAAAAGCATTTAAACTCCTCTTTGTTGCTCATTACTATTTCAATATACCATATTCCACTTCAGAGTGGAGCTTTGGATATATGTAGGTCTGATTTCACACTCTTTATGAGAAAAAATTCTGGGAGTCCAGAAGTATTCTATCTGATTGTAAACTGTGCAGACAGGCTTTTAAGTCATTTCTTTTCCCTATAGTGTGCCATAGGGGGCATACAGCTGTATATAATCATGCGTCTTGTGTCTCATCTTTAGCCTTTAAATCAACATGCCAAGAGTTTACACCTTCAAATTTGCAAATGTAAGAGATCGAGCCTTAGATGATGACTCTCAATACGTTAAAGTACACATCTGTTAACTTGCAGCATTGTTTTCTCTGTAAAGCAGACAAGCTGCAAAGCGGATAGTCTCATACTAAATAGATAGTGCTGTTTTACAGTTTCCAGGATTTTTCCTAGGGAAGATTTCTATCAGATCCAAAGAGTGTCAGAACTCATGAGCCCAAAAAGTCATTTCTGATCTCTGCATGCCGCTGTTGTAGTTCTAGCAAACAAATACAACCCAGTGCAATTTGGTTTGCAATCTTTCTGAGCAAGTATTCATGAAGAATTTATCACATGACTAGATACGAATCAATCTATAACCAAAAATGGTTACATTTATTCTGTAACTTTGTTTAAAAGACCAAAACATTTGTTCTACAACCTGCGATTCCAATGCAACAAAGGATTGAAAATATGTCACATGCTTCATTTAACCATGGAAATGTTTCTATTAAGTTCTGAGAGAGTATTCATGTGTTTAAAATTATATGTCCTGTTCAAATTTGTTGCTGTATCAAGTCTTGCCTATGTAATACTTACCTTAGTTCCTTTTAAGCTGCCGCAATGGTAAGAACAACACCAACACTAATAGTCATCAGCATTAAAATTAAGTTATTCACAGCACTTGGACATCTGCTGAGACTTCAAACTGCAGATCTTTTTAGCCCATGCTAGAATAATAATACTGACAGGTACAGCCTCATTGTTCTTTGACAAACAAAACCCTTTGAAAATCATGTCAGCAAGAACTCTTTTTATCTCAACAAAAACACAGTGTACAGGTCCCCTGCTCTTAACCCCAGGATACTTTAAGAAGACCCTAGTCTTGTCCAATGTGCAGCATTATTGACAAGCAAAAGCTTTTTTTGTGCTTCATAATGTTTTTTTAAGTAGAACAAACAATATCTGTTGAGATAGTATGAATTTCTTCCAACTCGTCATTGCCATCATAGCTCTTCAGATTTCTAGAATTTGTCTTATAAAGAATGCAAGATCAGAACTAAGTAAATCCAAATTCTGTTTGAAGGGGGACACCCTAACTTGAAATAGAGAAGTCTTAAAATGTCTTTCACAGTATGGTCTGGGTTCAGCAGCTCTTCAATTTTAAAATGAAGAAGTACTTTCTAAGGAGACTATTTTCAGCCCTGCAGCACCTGCTAACAACATGCTGGGGCATTGAATTAGTACCAGTGCACAGAGGAAAAGATGAAGAATCTATAAATTCATAAATGATCTCCTTTCCTAGTAGCTAGGCTCTCTGTCCCAGTACAGAACAGCTGGCCCTGATCCTGCTTTCTTTTTGATGTTCCTTTGTAACTATTGTCTTAAACACAGTGATTCATATAAGAATAGACTAAGCAACTGAACGGACTGTAGAATACCCTTTCCTTCTCTCCATCAGAGGAGGAAAACATAGATGTATTCACTGCCACTAGCAGCAATTTCCTGTGCTGTTAAGTTACACTCCAGGGGAGAACTAGCTGATGTAACATGGAACATACGCATTAATATTAACACAGCCTGAACATTTCCATCCCCCATTTGTCTCAAAGATTCGCCAGGCTTGGGCTACAATCTGCTCACCCATTTCCTTCTCATTTCTCCCTTCTTACTTACTTGCTCTCCTTGCTTTTCTATTTCTGCTACTTCTTCCTTTTATTCCCCACACCTTTTTTTTTTTTTCTCCTTAGAATAAAAAACCCTTGCTCTCGGCTTCATTCAGGCAAATTCAGCTTGCTTTGTGCAGTACGGTCTTTCTCTCGGGGCCTTTCTGCAAATCCTAAAGTAGCTCCAGTAGTTCCTATTTCCTTAGACTGCTCTACAGAGCAGGGTCCAACAGTGACCTCAGGAGACAGCAACTTCTCAAAGCATTGGAACCATCAGTTACTCTAGAATCAACACTTTTGTTTCCTCTAGCTCTTCAGTACTCTTCTTCCCCTCTTTTTCTGCAAGCTAGTGCATGTTGTAACATTTGCCTTTGGTTTCAAGCTGACAAGCTATAACAGCAATGATCGGTTGGAAAAAGCTTATACTATGGTCAGGGCAATTAAGGCTTATTGGTGCTCTGACAACTATATGGACAAATATTGTTTGTGCTACTTTAAAAAGCATTACAAAACACAAAAAAAAGGCTTTTGCTTGTCCAATAATACTGCAATTGGACAAGACTCGATTCTTCTTAAAGCATTCTAGGGTTAAGAGCTGGGGACCTGTACATTGTGTTTTTGTTGAGACGAAAGGAGTTCTTGCTGACAAGATTTTCAAAAGGTTGTTCAAAGAACAATGAGGCCGTGTTTGTGCTATTATTCTAGTATGAGCTAAGAGGACTATGAGCTAAGAGAGCTATGAGTCTGAGCAGATGTTGGAGTAACACATTTGAAAAATGTAACATTAAACATTATGATATTAATGTAACATAAACAATGGAGCATTATATAACAATGTAACATTAAATTTTTAAAAATTGCTTTCCATGTTGAAATGTTGATTCTCTAATGCTTGTCTCTACATGCAGCAAAATCAGATGATGTTATGAACTGAAAACATAAACCTAATCAGACTGTATGAGGCAAGAGTGATTTTCCTAAGGCAGAATGATAATGTAAGAAAGAAATGTCCATTTCCTGTAGGCTCTGACCCTATAGATGTTCAAATGGCTATTTAAATATCATCTGATAATCTTTACTGGGTGAAAGACTGTAGTAATTCTTCTGATAGTTACCTGATAATTTTTGCAGAGAGTTCATCTTCATAATTCTTTCATTTCAGTTTTATAAACAAGTTTTCCTCATGCCCTTCCTAATTAACTACCCAGACAGATACAGTGAATTGTGTTTGGCCTTGGTAACTAGAAAGACGAATATCTATTAGGTCTGCCTGGTTTGAAGATATCTATTTTGGCTTTTGCCCGAGTGCATGCCCTAAGTCAATCATGTTCTTTACTCTTTTTTTATTTTTTAATTCAGTTCATCAAAATGTGAGAAGAGAATTGTAGGTGGCAGTGATACCTCTTTAAGGAATTTATAATTATTCTCAGCCTTCATCCTAGAGATACACTAACTGACTTTCTGTAATGTTTTCAACAATCCATAATTTGAATTGGGAAAGAAACAATTGCTGGTAAGTCTTCTTTCCCAGAAAGGTCAAATTGAATTCAGCTGGAGAATAACTTAAATTGCTTTGACCATATGAACTTACAATCTTGTATTCTTAGGATGGCGAATATAGATTCCATTAGTCATGATTTCCCTTTCCCATATTCCCTCTTCTGGAGTGTAAAAAGACAAATTCCAGTCTTAATTCTCAATAAAGGTGTAACTGGCATACTGGAACTTTTGAAAGTCACAATTCATCTTTCTTCTTCAGGATGATTTTCCTTACAAGTTCTGTAATATAAGGTCTTATTTCTTCAACAGAGACAGTAGAGTCCCAGGCTTTTACCACTTTCCCGTTAGGGTCCACCAAGTATTTCCAGAAGTTCCATGTTGGTTCTTCTCCTGTAGAATCTATGGGGAAGAGAACAAACTTAGAAAAGAAAAACACATCAGCCAATTCCTGCATGTCATTGACATGTGATGATTAGTATCTCAGAGGAAAAAGGAATATAAAATTAAGAGAGAGCTCAGATTGAATATTAAGATGAATTTTCTGACAGACAGGGAGATTTATCTAGACAGCAGTCCCCTGGAGACTAGCAAAACAAAGTCAAACTTACGACAGGCAGACAGGAGGAAGTACCATACTTTGTGTGTGTGTGTGTGTGTGTGCATGTATGTATACTATATGTATAGTGTAAAATAGCTATACATTGATAAAAGGAATTTGGGGTAAAAAAATAGTTGTATCAGAACCGATTAGTAGTTTAATTACCTAGGATTTTGTCTCCAAAAGTACCCAGTATCACATGCTTCAGAGTAATGGTTCAAGAAATGCTACATGAAGAAATAGCAAAATAAATTGCTCCCGGAGGAATTTTCCTTGTAATCCTAATCTACTACTGTTTTTACTCTACATGACTGCATAGCCGTTTCACCTCGGTCATACTCTTATCCTTTACTATTCTGTTACAGTAGTAGCATAATTTTCAGGAAAGCATTTTCAGTCAGACCAAGAGTTTCATCCCACTAACTACACAAGTACAGACCCTACAAAGTAACATCTTTCTCCATTGATCATACGCTGGGCAAAATTTCACATGGACTGAGAAATATTTCCAAAGTATTATCAAGACACAGCTAGACCTTCACTGTTGACTGTCTTGTCAATGTGCTGCAGTAAGTGTCCTGCCTCCGGCAGCCTCACTTTGCATGCGGACCAAGAGGGAAACACAAGGTTTGCAGTTTTCATGTGACATGCCAGCAGTAACAAGCCCACTGGGCAAAATAGACACGGAAGGACATGAAGAGGACTAAAAGGAAGTTTGGCTAGCAGAAAGACTCAGTATAGACACGCGGAGGAGTTCTTGGGGTAGCCAAAAATAATACTAGCAACACTCTGTGTAAAGTCAGGGGTATGTGGGAGAACACTGTGGTGCTGGAGAGAAGGGGAAGTGGTGTGGTCCTTGCAGAATACAGCTTAGGTGATATCATGTCAGGTTGGGTTTTATGACAGATCGTTCCCAGAAGACATTTCCTTCACAAATGTGGGGTTATGGGGTCTTCATCACTCGTGATCTTTTTAGAAGTTCAGACAAACATGTCAAGAGAGACAGAAATCCTGCCTTGTGCAGAAGGACAGACTAGATAACTTCTGACCTCTTTGACCCTGACAAATCTGTGCTATGATTTTGTGAGCACAAACATAAATACCCTTATTCAGTCGCATGGTATCTTGTGTCAGAGGAATTCTATGTTGTAGAAACAACCTTCCAATATTCCAGATTACTCACCGATTAAGTACTTGAAGGCAGGAATTGCACCAGCACCACTGACGGCAGTTTTGCTGAACATAGGAAAAGAGGCGCCGTAAGTCTTCCGTGCAAAACTCTCAATTTCTTTGTTGCTGTCTGGTTCTTGCTGCCCAAACTGATTGCATGGGAATGCCAGCACATTGAAATGGTATGGGCCAAGGTCTCTCTGTAGCTGTTGTAAGGCCTTGTAGTGGCTATCTGTATATCCACACTCACTTGCAACATTGACAACTAAAGACACCTAAAGAACAAGAGAGATTAAAAAATGTGCTACACATGTCAGTTTTCCAATAGGTAGGCTTAGGTATTAATTATTCTCAAAAACTAAGAATGTCTAGAGAACTGTGACTGAACACTCATGTTTGAAACCACACAGAATTCTGTTCACTATAGGCAGATTTAAAAATATATATTTTTTATTTACTCCCGTTGGGAACCATGAATATAATACTTATTAAGCTTCTTAGCAATCTTAATTCTCAGTTTACAGAGAAACCAGAATCTCTTCTGTTCTGCCTTTTAGATATCTGTAAGGATATTTAAGAAGTGATCATCTAGTTGAGGTATATGGGGTAGTTTATCAAAGACTTACGAATTAATGTATTTTTGGTTGTTCCGTTACCTGTTGTGCAGCCTATTCTTTCTTACAGAATTTAGTACTGATACAGAACCGGCTGATGCATTTATCATTGTATGGATGCCTAGATCTGAAAGCCAGTGGAAGTAATTACATGATTTTAGGTTAGTCTGTGCAGTACAGACTGTAAAATTTCAGCCCATTTCTAGAGTAAGTTCACTAAGTCGTGACAAAACAGCAACGTATTTTGCGTAACGGTTTTCTACCTCAATTAGAGGTTCCAAGTAGTGAAGAATGTGCATGCTATCCTTTAAAGGGTGACTGCTATAGCTGGTCATCTTTGATGTTGTGTGCAGTGATATCAGTCAAATGCTACCACCAGGCAGGTATCTGCCTATGCAGATCCAGCAGAAAGAAAGATGCCAAACAAAAATGAGCACTGCTTGAAAATGAAGGCACGTGTAAGGAGAATGCATGGTGGAACAGATTCTGCCAAAAAATTTGGGGGGAAATAAAGTGACCTAACCCTGATCTGACATAGCTTCTCAAGAACATGAAGAGCTTTCCATAGATTTTGGAGGTATTTTATCCTTAAATAACTTTTAGAGTGTGTTTTTGGACTTCTTATACTTTTTATCATTCTTATAATTTTTGTAAGTGTGAATTATAACTAATCCTATAGAAATTGAGCCCTTTCTACTGTTTTCATGGGAGTGGATTAAAGCTGAATATTATAGGCCTCTATCATAATAGCATTATGCCCTTTTCAGTGGTAAGTTCTTTTACGCAAAACTATATTCTATTACTTTTTTTGAATCAATCTGTAAGACACTGAGTTTCTACAAATTATAAATCAGCACAAAAGTTGGTCCTTCATTCTCAGATTGTGAAAAAAGATTGAACGTAATCGAAGCAGCCAACACATTCTCCAGTACTAGTAGCATAACAGTAGCTGTTCACATTGGATCTTTTTACAACGAAGTCTCAAAGTTCCACACAAGCTGGCATATTGATTTCATTATCATTTTTGTGAGATAGAGCAGCATTATAGGTGTCAATGCAGCAAGAGGAAAGCTTGCAGCTTGGACACACTCATTGACCTGATGAAAGTTAAACAGCAAGTAGCTGCATGGCAAGAAAAGGAAGTAAATAATCCTGGCTCTAGGTCTTGCACTCTTGTGTTTGTGGCCGCTGGCCTTATTCGATTTGCGCTTTGGATTCTAATGTTACTGTTATTCTATATTCCTATGTGTATGTTTTTATACAAAATATAAAAGTATGTAGGAAGCATGAATAGAGTACATAAACCTAAATGATAGCTAATGTATCCAAAAATAAGTGACTACATATGTATAGCATTTTTAAGGCCAGAGAACAATCATTTATATAAAAGTTCATAATCTAGGTAAGGTATGGGACAACCGGATGAAATCTCTAGAAGGGTAGGAAGGAGTAACAAGAAAGCTAAGGGACTGTTGGTGTTTATAATTTCTTATGTTAAACATTAACGCTTACTTTGTATATTTTCTATATTGTATGGGCATGCAGCTATATTTAAAGAGGTTTCTGAGCAGCACTGTTTGTTTTCCCTAGAGGACTGGTAATTTTATAAGGCAGAAGTTGATGTAATCTTCTTTGGGGTATATTCTGTCAACAGAATATAATCTAAGGAATCCCTGTACACTTGCACATGAAATATCATCTGCAGCCATCTAGCTAACTTCCAAAGCATCACATTTATTCAGACTATATTTACAAGCTCTACATGAAATTTTAAATCAGTCTCCTAAAACATCCAAAGATTTGCCTTATAGTTAGACAATTTTTAAGAGAAGAGGTAGTAATTTTATGTTGCATTCCTATTTCAGACTGTCATCATTTCAAATACATCTTATAAATATGTATTAGACACAAAAATAATCATTGGCAGTTCTGTTCTCTTCAGATAATCTGTTTTCCAAGTTTTAGTAACAATTGTAGTACAGAATGGTCGAAGTAAAAATAAATGTAATACCGAGAGTTAAGTCACGTGTAGTTCCTTAGCTAAAATTCTAGCCTGTTTTTTAAATATAGTTTAAGGCTCAGCATTCTTGTGATGCAGAAGTATTCATATACCTTAGTGTATTCACAGCTATTGGTACTTTATCCCAAATACAGTATGTAATATAAGAATTTATCCTTGGAGGCTTGTGGGAAATAAGGCTATGTACATTATTATGTTCATATTATAACAAATATGAAAGATGAACTGCAAATGAAATCATCAAGCTTTTATAATTTTATTTGATTTTGAATTGAGCAGAGCTTGAAAGAATGCACTCAAAAAGAGATGACTATTTTAGTTTACAGCTATTTAACACCAGTGATTGCTCAGCATGATGATGAAAGGTATGAGCTCACAATGCAAGTGGTGCAAACTTCCCAACATTCTTCTAAAGGAAACTACGCACACCTTTTTTCTGAAAGGCAGATATATGGTGCTTCTCTTCTTTTTTTTCATAGAAAAAAAGCATTCTGTTACTGAATTCGACAATTTAATATTGCCAACATCCTAAAAGTATAAATAACATATCATAAAGATTTTTCAGAATTTATTAGTATTTCATAAGGAATGTTTAAAATGAATGTTTAAAAATCTTCAGCAAGTCATCTTTTAAGTGTTTCTATTGAGTAACACAAACGATGAAATGAGGTGATGTGTATTTTGGTGTTTGTATTTTATCTTTTATAAACAACAGTCATTCTTTTTGTTCTCATAAAGAGGCTGTACTTTGAATTTTTAAGACCATTAATGGTTTAAATTAAACTCAATACTCCACTTTACTGACTTCTCTCACCTCATCCTCTGAGAGTGCAAGTCAAGTACACCATCTAGTGTGCAGTGCAAACAATTCATCCTGGACCTTTGCAAAAATGGTTTAATTAAAGCTGAACTGTGTTTTAGCCGTTGTTTGACCTTTTAATACTATGTTTTCCTTCCCTTTTCTTAGGAAACCCATGCATTCTAATAGGGAAATCATTTTTACATTGCAAAAATAGTTGTTGGTTTACTTCATGTTTACACAAGTGTACCTCCTTGAGGAAAAGATCCCTAGAGAGATTTATGAACCTATCAGCTTCAAGTAATGCTTCATGGACCTTTTAGCACAGACAGTAGATACTTATGTTTTTAGATCTGGAGATTTTAAATGGCTCCATCAGACTGATGGAAGGACCATCTAGAGGGTCAGATTACACCAATGCAGGGAACTGTTGCCTTCGTGGAAAAAACAGCAATGCTTTGTACAGCAATTAAGTATCTCTACTCTGTATTTATACACATTCAGTAATAATACATTCTTGAATTGTACAGAGCTGCAATGCAAAGTGCCTAGCATTACTTCCAGCAGTAAAATAAGACTTAACATTATTATAGTACCTTTGGCAGAAGGTTTCCAAAGCACTGCACTAATGCTGCTTCATTAAGCCTCAGCCACTGTACTTAGCTCTGTGGTTGGTAGGTAGGTAGGTAAGTAGGTACTATTATATCTGGGTAGGTATAAACACAGTAGGGAACAGCAGAAGCTTGGCAGTTCTGACTTCCAGATAGATACTATTTTTGGCAGGAATAGTGCCTCTTACTTAGAGCACATCCGACAGACCATAAAATGAAATATAAACTTTCTTGATACAGATGGCTATTCTGATAAACCTCCTTTTGTTTAAATCCTGATGATTCTTCTCTATCCATCACCACCCATTATATTTAATGTAGATGGATCAACAACATCAGAGTGATAGCCTAGATAAAGCATAGGAGGACGATCTTCTCATGGGACAGAATAAAACAGCTAACTTTTTGATCTGTTTCACTTGTGGCACTTTTTTGTCCATCATAATAGTCCTCTCTCTCTGCTTTCAGACAGATTTAATATACCTAGCTTTGCTGAATGTATGCCAAATTTGTAGCATTCTGGCAATATAATTTCTAATGCCCTTTTGAAAACAGAGTTCTCCCTTACCTATTTTGATATTTTTATTAAAGTGGAGGATACATTGCATCTGTGCACATTATTTTCAGCGCAAAAAAATCTGATCCTTAATCTTCTCATTTTTACTATTTCAGACTTGTAAGTAATACATTTCTTATTTACTATATAACTGACTTAGTACTTGTGGTTTGCATCAAGTTGCACTTGAACAGAAATTGAATTAATTGGCCTCATTTTTTTTTTCTTACTAAATAAAATTATTTCGGTGATTTGAATATAAAACTTTTTATATTAGTAATGAGTCATTGAAGAAAGATTCTGCAAGTAGTGAATTGCACTGATTGTTTCTACCCAGCATGGCTCTTATGTTTTTAGAATTAGCAGACTTTATTCTATTTTTTGAACACTTCTGACTTTTTCAATTCCCAGGTAGTTTCTTGACTACAGATTACATTAACTAAATTATTTGAGTGACTGAGTTGAAGAAAATGTTTTATCTACCTCTGCCAGAAAGCTTCAGGCTGTTAAAAACTGGTTTAGCAATTAGCAGACTATTGTTCCAGGGGTTGACTAGTGACTCACTTCCTTTAAAACATCAGCAGCACACATATACTGCTATTTGCTTTGTTTTAATTACTTTAAAATATTATGGTAAACTTACAACTGTACATTGGTTATCTAACTTCAGATATAAGTGGGTTTATTTTAAGAAAAAAATGGGATCTGTGTCTACCTTGATATTGAGCTCTAACATATTGACATAAAAAGGTCATTTTATTGGTATAACCTGGTTTAAATTGTGCGTGTGTGTTCTCAAACAGCAGTTGAACTGAGCGTGGATGGGCTCTCTGAATGCAAATCTTTTGGTCGGACAGCTTGGACAGAAGCCGGTCATCACTTTTTGGAATAAGTAATTCCCACAAAGTACTTGTGGTCTTGGAAAAGCAAAAAAAGTTGTGGAATGAATGCTCTTGCAGTGGGATAGGCAGATGCAGAAAAAATTAGATGCTTATTTTCTCCTTATGGTCTAGCAAAGATCAAGGAGTAATATTCACTGATGGCAATACCTTTCCTCTAGTGCTAGAGTCCTCTGCTATGAAACCAGGCACCCCTGGAGCATGGCACTAGGCGAGATTCAGACACGCACCCCTGACCTGGAGGAGTCATGAGATACTGGGGCAGGCCCTAAGGCTTCTTCTGGAGGGGACAAACACCCCCTGTCTCTGCCAGGAGGGCTATAAGGAATTCCACAAGGGAAACCTCAGAGTTCCCCCTTTAGTCCTTGCCATGCTGATTCTCACCCTGCGTTAGAGAAGATACAGGTGGTATTTGCTTATTTAGAAAGATTTGCAGGCGACCTGCACCCAAAACATGCCCCAGTGACAGGATTTATTGACAGAGCCTTTGGAAGGAACTCTTAAAAAAGGTAAATATTGCTTAATATTAAACAGGTTCCATAGTTTCTCAAAAACAGATATCTGTGTGTGCATTGGATCTGTTCCCCACCTGCTCTGTTCTCTGACTGCATTGTGAACAAAAGCAGAGGAGGACTTTGACCAGATAAGATCGAGGCCTCTCATTTGGTCCAAATGCACCAGTAGCCCTCCCTTCTGAGCTCAGAAATACATCCCCTACTGTAGGCCTTCTGTTTCTTCCCGCAAATATTTTGGTCACCCACCACTTTGGATTAGTGACAAAGAAAGTGGAAACGCGGAGCTGAGACTAAGGGTGAAAGAGAAGAGTGGAGCCTTCCTTTTTGGGAAGCTGTTGGACTGGCCTGGCTGTAGCACATAAGATGTGTCACTTGAGCACTAAGGATGGAGGTGGTGGCTTTTATGCTTTGATTTTAGCTTCTGCAATTTGTGAATATGGCTACAAGAGCTACAGATACTATGCCACCCTTTCTGTGCTAACCTCTCTTCATTCTTCCATAAACCAAATTAAAAAAAAATCAAGTTACATTCAAGACAATTTTTCTCAAACTGTGAAGGAAAGTTGTGTCTACAACTCCTTAATTTAATATGTAAATGACATTTAAAAGGTAAAAAAGCATATGCAGTGTCTATCTGACCTTCATACTGTTCTCTGTCATGCTAAAATTGACTACAAGGGGAATAGCATGGTGTTTCCACAATTTCACTGTACACTGATATTAAAATAGTACATAGCAAGTCTCTCACTTTTTTACTAATTATGGTGAAAACTCTTAACTCCATTAATCACTGGCTAAATTCCATCTCTTTTGATGCAAAACTTCAAAGGGAAATGGGATTTAGGTAAAAAGAATTTACTAAATGTTTACTAAAAGCGGAAATAAGTTCCAAAAATAATTTGTACAAAGGTACAAACTTCCTGTGCTTCATGTTTTAGCAGCCACAGTCAAGTGCAATTCATCCTGCTGGATGGAAGGCAGGCATTCCCTGCTTGCCACGTATACAGGGAGCAGCCCGCACGAGGAAGAGACGCCGCCACACAGAGAGGTTAGGCTGCAAACGTTTTATTTACAGAGTGCAAAGACCTAGGGAATGGTATTAAAGGAAGCATGCAGGCAACACTCCAGATCAGTTAAAGAAGTCATAAAAACAAATCCATCTGCATGCGCGCATCATGTTAATGTACAATCTCTCCACCCCCATTGCTTTCTGCAGACATGCAAGGACTGGCTGATTAGTGATAGTGTGAGAGCTGCCCATCTCCATGCAGACTTACCGAGCCCCTGTATTTCTCCAGAGAGACTAGCTTGCCCCTGATGTTTACAACTTTGAAAGTGTAAAAATCAGTCTCTTTCTGCTGAGTAGCGGAAAATGCTAAGAGCAGGAGCGCTGCTATTGCAAGGAGCATGGCTAGAGGGATGAGGAAAACTTTGGGGAAGGAAGAGGAAGCCTTGTGCTCCACACTGCCCTCAGGATCTAGCATGCTGCAAGACAGCGCTGCACAGACACTTGCCACAATAGTAAAGTGCTGCCGGAAAGAAAGGAGTGCTGCAAACGGACCCTTTTGCAACAGTCTCTCTTCTGCAGAGATTTAATAGGATCTGTGTTCATGCAAGACCTCAGGAGGATGTCTTCATGAAGGATTCAGATTCTCTCCAATGGAGTATTTCATTGTGGCAGTGGTGTATTAGATAAGGCCATTTATGGGTGCAACATACAAACTGAAGGGCTAGTTCTTTCAGCTCAAGAATAGCAGTACTGTATGCGTCTTTGGGGGATGCTGACTTAGGGAGCTGCTTTGACTATGTCCTAGGAAAATATGGCATAGAGTTATCACAATGTTGGCAGACTTGCAAGTAGGTATTTTTAATATACTAATTATAGCAGCTAATAACTATGATGTAACGTCAAAGGATACCAGTGGCTGGGTGGCTAGTGGTTACTGATTCAAGTGCTCTGCACAAGAGTCAGAGCATACGGTTATCAAAAACTGAGCGTTACAAACAGTGTCACGTGAAATGGAGCGCGCTTAGGCCTTCTGGAACGTCCCCTGTCTGAACGCTCAGCTCGAGAAAAGTGGCCGGCCAGGCCACGCGGGTCTTGACAGGGTGATCTGGGAGAAAGCACATCACCAAGGAGTTCCTAAGTGAGAAAGAGGCATCAAGCATTAGAAACTGAATTTGGTACCAAAGCTTGCAGAAATACAGAGCCAAGGCAGCTACTTGGGGGATCAGTGTAGTGATGCAATTCGTGGGTTGTCTGGGGAAAAAAAAAAAAAAAGCCATTTGTGCCATTTGCTACTATGTCTGCTGGAAGAAAGAGGATTTGTATATATGAAGTAACAAGAAACGTTTGATGGTCATTGATTTCTTCTTGGACTGAAAAACCAGTCTTCTGTGCCTGTGATTCTGCTACTTCTTGGCAAAGAAAAAACAAAAGGTAATGATTTACAGAAAATATTGAAGTAGCACACATGAGGCATACTGGAAATTTATCTTTTGAATAGCCAATTACATTTTGTAATCTCACTGTGTGTGTGTGGTTTTTTTTTTAAACCTAGAGTTTTGGCAGATCTTTGAGGTTTTTATCAAGTTTGGTGAAGTAATTTAAGCATAAGTGGCATTACTGTAAGTGAAGGAAACATGAATAACTAGTTGAAAGACTTAATAATAGTTTGCAAACATTACAGATTTTGCAGGTTTTATGTATTTCAGGTTAAGTAGATATCCAACACCAAGAAATCATGCAATATTCTACACGGGTGAAAAATCTACCATGCTATCTGCGTGGAAGACATACTGTGCTAAAAATCTGAAGTTCTGATCTCATCCTCACAGATAAGTACTATTTTTCTGTATGCTTTTCAGGCTTCGGTATTGACCAAGAAACTTTCCTTTGGAAGACAGTGAAGTATGAATTCCCCATTTTATAAATAAATTATTTAAGAAGCTCCAGAGTCTCTTCAGACATAGCTCGACACAGAGAATATAGCTTTAAAATAGTATGTACATTTTAATAAATAAATTAAAAAATTAAAAATAGTAAATCCTAAGAATAAATAAAATATTTCATTCCAGCTTGCTGAAAATAATTAAACTGAAACCTTCTGAAACCTTTTTTTTTATTTGGCTAGCAAATTTTTAAAAATATACAGTACACTTCTACTGATTTTCTACAGTCTTTTAGGCATAATAATACAGTAGTTTTGGCATGAGACTGCAGGTGAGGCAGTATGACTATACTATGAGACAAGCAAGATTTTGCTGTGGAAAGTGACTTTAAAAAACCTGCCTCCTACATCTCCATGTTTATTGTTTCTGATTTCTAGATAAAATTTACTTGCTTTCAAAATTACATTTTCTCCTACAAACAAAGCTTGGAATCTGAAAGTTTTGATCACTGACACTGAATTAGAAGTCCTTTAAATAATGGCCAACTTGTAGTAGAATTTAGCTTTCTCTTTTACAGCCACGTTTCGATACTACTCCCTGGAATAAAGCATTCTCTAACACTAGCAAAGAAGGCAGAATCGCACAGAGAGAGAGAGGGACAATGTCAAAGACTGTTAGTTTTATAATGACTCAAGTTTTCAGAGCCAAACTGCACTGACATCTTTGTATTACTGTCTGTCCAGCTATTTGTTGGAAAGAATGTGTTGGAATTTGTTGAAATAATCTGATGTATTCTAATAAATCTCAGCCTGTAGGAAAAACGCCAGTTAGAGTTGCAAACGGATGCCTGTTGGCTCGCTAGCATGCCTAAACGTTGCTCGAGGAGGGCTGTACTCGGTAGCGAGTATAATCTATAAAATCTACTTTTGCAATTTACTCTTTGGCCTGCTACACCTAGTAAAAACCCTCGTCAAACAGGACTAGGTTGAAACCACCCTGCAGCTAACGTCAGCTGCCCACCAAGCAGGGCTGCAGCTCTGGTCGTTGGGCCCGTGTCCCCGACCGGGGAAGGGGGTGGGGGGAAGAAGCTCCACACTACAGCCCACCAGCAACACCCCCGGGCCGCCCAGCCCTCGCTTCTTAAAACGTGAACTTCAAGTGAACGGCGAGAAAGCGGATTAGCTCACGGCATCGTGCTGACTTGACGTTTCCCCACCTTGTCCAAGGCACGTCCTGCCGGCGTTTGGGGAACCCAGCGTTACCCATCTTGCGACTTTTCTTTACCTCCCCGGGGTGCCCTTTCCAGCACTAGTACCCACATTACTTTCAATAACTTCCTCTGAATCCTTTTAGTAGCTCCACATTAATCTTTTATGCTCCCTTTTTGTTTTTTTTTTTTTCAATCTGGAAAGGCCTCCTTAGCCCGGGAGGCGACGCTTCGCCGCCAAGCCGGAGCAGCGCCG